CTGTGGGCAGGCGTCCACTAACCTGAGTCACCTGCGAGTGTCCCTGTATTGTCCTGCTGCAGTGACAGATCACCGAGGCCATTAGGCATACCGAAACCTGCAGTGGAGACCAACACATACGCAAACGACACAGAAGAGATGGAGGAGTGGCGTTGTGTTGGCTGCGCACCGCCTGCATCGCCGACGAATTGAAGCACGAGGGGTGGCCAACTGCTGCTGAGCAGCTGAGACACGATCGACTGTGTCGTATCTGACCACACACGGGTGGGGTACCAATGCAGCAAATGGGCTGCGTCTGTGTGTGTGTTTTAGCTGACCTTCCATCTCAATGCAGACGCAGTAGTCTGTTGGTGGGGTTTCCCCAGCTTTGTCCAGAGGAACGCGACGAGCTTTGATAGTCTCCTCTTCAGCCTTGGCAAAGACCTCAGCCTCGTTCGCCCTAAGCACCCACACTCTCACATCTGACACATAGCCACACACAAAACAGAAGGGCCAATCGATAGAAAGCGCGCCATGTCAGTGCGTGCACTCGCGCATGGCCCTTTCTCAGCTGCTCACCCATCGGTGTGTCGGCTGCCGGCTGCTGCAGATGGTGGTCCTGAGAGCGAGACAGACAGCGCAGAGGTGCCTTGATGATGCATTGCAGCGGCTTCCACATCACTCACGCGTACTGTACCTGCCCACTGCCGCTCATCTGCGGGTGCGGCTCCCGTTGGGACAGCAGGACCGATGCCTAGACCACCAGACAGACAAAACGAGACACATACACACACTTGTTCGCCCATTTTGCAATGATGTCTTCTTGTATTGGCCGCCGTACCGATGTGACGTCAGTCCCTCGAGGGACCGCTGTATCACCTGAAGGACACCTCACCTGCGGCTGGTGGAACAGACAGTACAGAGGTGTTTACATGGCGTGCTTCAGTGCCTTTTCACATCACCCACACGTACCTTTCCGTTGCCCTCTGTCTGTGGGTGCAGCTGCCTGTCGTCCGGGATGGCTAAATGGGGAGCTGCTGTGTCGACCGCATTTGGGTGGTGTACTTGACGCGGCACGTGCCCATTGAGCCAGTCAAGGAACGCTTGACTGCTTTCTGCAGATACACACACACACACACACACACAGAGAGAGAGAGAGAGAGAGTGGTCGCCGGTCTGCCACTGTGTGTGCGTGTGCTGACCGCCTGGCACGTAGAAGATCTTGACGTAATGGCCGTCGGCAATCGCCACCGCCTCTGCGATGATGTCGCCAGGCCACTTGTCGGCTTCATCGAGGATCCGCTTCACGTCTTCGTCTCGCTGCACCTTCAAGTTACTGACTCTCAGGACTGTCAGACAGGCAGACAGACAGACATACAGACGAAGGCATCAATCAGTACCATGTACGTGTGCAGACTGCACTGCTGTCCTCAATACTCACCCGTTGACC